GCCTGGGTGACCCCCGCGTGACCCCTGACCCCCGCGTGACCCCTGACCCCCGGTGACCCCGGACCTTGTTGACCTGGGTGACCACGGCGTCCACCACCTCGCCCTTGAAGGGCCGGAAGACGATGGCCTTGTAGCGCACGGGGTAGAGCACGAAGCCGCGGCCCGGCTGGATCACCCCCGCGCCCACGTTGTCGATGGTGGTCACCGCGATAACGAACCCGTACCTGTAATTAAATCATCGATAATTAATTAGTGTTCACTGGGGGATTTATTGTGGTTTTATTCGGGGTTATCATTGATTTATTGGGGTTTATCGGGGTTTATCGGGGTCTGGATCACCCCCGCGCCCACGTTGTCGATGGTGGTCACCGCGATAACGAACCCGTACCTGTAATTAAATCATTAATAATTAATGAATTGGTGTTCATTGGGGGATTTATCACTGATTTATGGGGGTTTATTGGGATTTATCATTGATTTATTGGGGTTTATTGGGATTTATCATTGATTTATTGGGGTTTATTGGGGTTTATCGGGGTCTGGATCACCCCCGCGCCCACGTTGTCGATGGTGGTCACCGCGATAACGAACCCGTATCTGTAATTAAATCATCGATAATTAATTAGTGTTCATTGGGGGATTTATTGTGGTTTTATTGGGGGTTATCATTGATTTATTGGGGTTTTATTGGGATTTATCATTGATTTATTTGGGTTCATTGGGGTCTGGATCAGCCCAGCTCCCACACTGTCCATCGTGCTGACAGCAATCACAAATCCGTACCTAGAATTAATTATTTGTAATTAATTACTGTTAATTGTATGATTTAATAATAATTTATGGGGTTTTATTGGGATTTATCATTGATTTATTGGGGTTTATTGGGGTCTGGACCACCCCGGTGCCGACAGCGAAGCTGCCCCTGAGAAACGGGGTTAAGGTCAGTTAATTAATTTTATTTTGATTGATTGATTGCGATTTATTGGGATTTATTTGGGGTTTGTTGGGCGTTTTTCCTGGGGCCGTTTTTGGGGATTTCGGTGCCGTTTTTGGGGATGTTTGTGCCGTTTTTGCGGATTTTTGTGCCGTTTTTGGGGATTTTTGTGCCGTTTTTGGGGATTTTTGTGCCGTTTTGCGGATTTCGGTGCCGGTTCCAGTACTCCCGCCCCGGTTCCCCCGGTCCCGCGCTCACTTGCCGGTGCAGGTCCCCTCCACCTCGGTGAAAAGCTTCTGCTTGACGGTGTTGAGCAGGTTGGGCCCGAAGTAGCGCGGGTGCAGGAGGATCTCGTGCTCCAGGGAGATCTGCGGGCACCGGCCGTTACCGGGAGTTACCGGGAGCCACCGGGAGTTACCGGAAGTTACCGGGACCGCCCCGNCCTGGGTGACCCCCGGGTGACCCCTGACCCCCGCGTGACCCCTGACCCCCGGTGACCCCTGACCTTGTTGACCTGGGTGACCACGGCGTCCACCACCTCGCCCTTGAAGGGCCGGAAGACGATGGCCTTGTAGCGCACGGGGTAGAGCACGAAGCCGCGGCCCGGCTGGATCACCCCCGCGCCCACGTTGTCGATGGTGGTCACCGCGATAACGAACCCGTATCTGTAATTAACAACCGTTAATTAATGAATTAGTGCTCATCGGGGGATTTATTGTGGTTTTATTGGGGGTTATCATTGATTTATTGGGGTTTATTGGGATTTATCATTGATTTATTGGGGTTTATTGGGGTTTATCGGGGTCTGGATCACCCCCGTGCCCACGTTGTCGATGGTGGTGACGGCGATAACGAACCCGTATCTGTAATTAACAACCGTTAATTAATGAATTAGTGCTCATTGGGGGATTTATCACTGATTTATGGGGGTTTATTGGGATTTATCATTGATTTACTGGGGTTTATTGGGATTTATCATTGATTGATTGGGGTTTATTGGGGTTTATCGGGGTCTGGATCACCCCCGCGCCCACGTTGTCGATGGTGGTCACCGCGATAACGAACCCGTACCTGTAATTAACAACCATTAATTAATGAATTAGTGCTCATCGGGGGATTTATTGTGGTTTTATTGGGGGTTATCATTGATTTATTGGGGTTTTATTGGGATTTATCATTGATTTATTGGGGTTTATTGGGGTCTGGACCACCCCGGTGCCAACAGCGAAGCTGCCCCCGAGAGACGGGGTTAATGTCAGTTAATTAATTTAATTTTGATTGATTGATTGCGATTTATTGGGATTTATTTGGGGTTTGTTGGGCGTTTTTCCCGGGGCCTTTTTGGGGGATTTCGGGGCCGTTTTTGGGGATTTTTTTGCTGTTTTAGGGATTTTGGTGCCGTTTTTTGCGGATTTCGGTGCCGTTTTTGGGGATTCTTGTGCCGTTTTGGGGGATTTTTGTGCCGTTTTTGGGGATTTTTGTGCCGTTTTGCGGATTTCGGTGCCGGTTCCGGTACTCCCGCCCCGGTTCCCCCGGTCCCGCGCTCACTTGCCGGTGCAGGTCCCCTCCACCTCGGTGAAAAGCTTCTGCTTGACGGTGTTGAGCAGGTTGGGCCCGAAGTAGCGCGGGTGCAGGAGGATCTCGTGCTCCAGGGAGATCTG